TATATATATACATATATAGTATATAAACATATATAGTATATAGTACGCAATCTAAAAAGGAATTGTAAAGGAACAAATAATTAAGTTGACTATTTTAAATTTGTTACTGAAATGTCTTCAAAATAAGACATGGATAGCCAGCTCGCGATGAAGCATCAGAGAGCGTCGTCGAAAGATCTTACTCAACTTGTGAACAGGAACGTAAAGACTTTAGAACATTGCTCTAAGGAAACAATCCCAAAGAGAAACCACCCCACCTAAGCGCAGAACCCAATGTGAAGGACCGATGCTACGCATGCGCATAGATCATAGATCGAAAACGCGAATGAATTGCAGAGACGCGACTTATAGAGATAGACTTATAGAAGAGGAGATAAGGTTGAGCCCTGCGGATCGAGAATCTGTCAGTTCGGAACGTCTTATGTGTTACCACTTGCGCCTGTATTTCGTGCCATACCATTCGGTTTAACTTCTACACTTTTATATTGTATATACTTTTTTTAATTTTTTTTTCTCCAGTGCAGTACTTTCCTTATATTCGTGTGTCGCGTATAAATGATGATTTAAATAACGAATATAATTCGATTTCTTTATGAACTTTCGATGAGTTAAAAATTCCTTGTTTTGTAATTTGTTTATTTGATTTAATTAATATTTTCTTAATTTTACATTAAACATTTTAAATGAAAATCGACGTATAAAACGGAACATACATAAATAAAAAACGCTATTCGATCAAAGCATTTCTTCGTGTCTAGTAATATTTCTTATGAATTCATATAACAAGTTAACAAGATAATTAAATTGCTTGTCAATTTAATTTGTATTATTACTCTAGCTTTGGTTTAGAACTATATTTCGAGACCGACAAATAATCGGTGCATATAGTTGCTTGAATTGGAAATTGTATAAACTCATAAAAAATATTATTAGGCATGAAGAATTATCTTGACCGAATATTTTTTTTGTATTCATAAATTGTGTATTTTATTCATTAAATTTGATTTATTTAATTATTGGTAACTTGTTATATTTATTTATATAACATAATAATACTTTTTTTATCTTAAAAAATTATCATCTTTTTGAATTTTTTTCTCATTAAAGAACGTCAATCGAAAAAATGAAGATAATTTTCAAAATAGTTGCTTTGGAAATTGTACATATATCCACGCACGTGTGCAAATTATAAAATTTCTAATAATTATTATCATGATCTTTACCTTATATCTTCTTTCAATAGAGATATATTTTTATGTGCGTTTTTATTTTTTTAGTGAAAATAAGAAGAATTAATTCTTATTAATTATTAATAATGAAATTCTAATTAATAAAATAATTTTTTATCATTAGAGAGAATTACTCATATATTACAAAAATTATAGAAAAATATTGTATTATTAAATCGCAAGAAAAATAATTATAAGCGTCGATTGTAACTCACCAATGTAACCAATAATGCATCGAGCATACCTATGGCGGAGGCGACCGCCATTAAGCGAATAAATTGCACGAACATTACGATCTCATAGATCGGCGATTCGCAGAATCCGAAAGGCAATTCCATCTTTATTAATAACTCTCGGCAATCAACATCATTCTGCTTGTTAAGAATGGAAGCGGTACTGTAAAGCAATACTGCTATCGAATAAACACTGATGATCAATTTTGAGCAGCGATGTGCGAGGACTGCCTTGTCGATCATGGCGTACATGTTGGAATATTTGTGCCAATCGTTGGACATCACTATCAGGATATTTTTGAATATTCTGTAATTTAACACTTCGCAACTATCACAATACCGATCTATATTCACGATATATCGCAAAAAACGCTTCCGTCAGTTTGCGATGATGAAAAGAGTCATAAAATCGATTGCCAAGTTAATTCTTTTCATCAAAAGCACAAGTTTATGACTGTCAAATGCAATTCGAATTTTTGCTCTGTATTATCAATACAGTAGAAAAATATAACATTATGTTTGTAGCATAAAATAATGTCTTCTCAGGCGAACCAAAATTAAACAATAATTAATTATAAAGCACTTTGAGATAATCTTGCTCGGCAATCAATACACTTAACATTAATTTTTGTAATTTTTCTTAATTAATTCTTAATCTGAATTAAATTCTGACATTAAGATATAATATTTAATATAAAATTATTATATGTTGTTAGAAACACGTACCGATGATTGACCCACAGGACGATCAGTTTGAAGAAAAGGAGACTATGCGGCAAAGTAGTACTTAAACCGTCTATCAGATTCGGTAGCTCCTTAGTGCTGAAATGTGTCAGAAGATAATAATACTGGAAGATTAATCCTATTCCCATCACCAATGTCCAAAGTAGTTTAAAAAAAATCGAAGAATTCGGCCATATTCCAGTAAGATGAAGGCCAATTTCGACTGATCGACTGACAGTGCTAATCGGTATCATCGCGCAAAACATTCCACGTTTTTTTTATCTCTTCATTGATAAATTTAAATCAAATGGTGTAAATTTTTATTGAGGCTTTTGTGATCACTATACGTACTTGAAGAATAAGTTTCAAGATATTAACAAGAAGATCGGCAACCTTAACTACCACCGACCAATCGCATATGTTAAATGTCTTTTCGTCATATACTTAGTTATGCAGAAAAAAGTTACTACGATCGAACGATGATTGCAGGTCTTGACAGGCGAAGAATCGACAAGACTGTTATTTTGTCATTTCCCGAATGGGAAAACCGTCTATCGCTATTATTGTGGATCATTTACTTTAAAAATGCAAGAAAATAGGGAAAAAGTTACAACACGCTACAAGAACAAAAATCGTCAAAGTGACCATTCGCAAAAGAAGTTTTTGAATAAAATAGCGAACATAAGTTCCCAAACATGGTACTGAATTTTCGCGACTGATCAGTGAACGTGCATAAAAAAATACAATATGCAAAAAATAAACGAACTTCGTACGTCATTTCAATTTGGATGTGCATAATATACATAAATTAAAGTGATCTCGGATCGGGAATCTAAAATTGCCAATAACTTTACTATACATAAACTGATATATTGTGTTGTACATTGATCCACATTCACCCAGAACGAGGGAATTTGGATAAGTATTTCAATAGAATTTTGTATGTGATACAAATGGTAAACACAAGGTAAAATGTTATTTTACATATTTTTAAATGACGAGAACATTTATAACATATATATATCCTATATCTCGTTCTTAAAGTTTATAAATAAGAGATAAATAAGTGAAATATATATAAAGACGACAAATGAGTAAAATAAAAAATACGGTTCACGTAGCACTTAATGACTTAAAATGATACAGTATATGTACATAATATTATGCAAATATATGCATGTAGGCTTGATATCTTTTTATCAGTCAAAACATTGCAAATAACACCGATATATAATAAGATTTCAAAATCTGAGAAACACAATATTGTTTTATATTAAAAAGAACATTTGGCATTCAGAAGCATTTTTTTAATCTTACACTTACAAAAATTTCCAAAGACATATTATAAAATTTCTCGATTATCAATTGGAAATCAATAAAATATTAAAATTAATAAAATTCGACTTTAGCTGGATTTCGCATCAAAGAGCCTCGTAAGCTGCATTTGTGACTGATTTGCTCTGCAAAAAATAGAAAAAGAAAAGAATAGTAAAAGATTAGCAATAAGATCACAACGATCACAAAAATATTTAAACAGAGAAGTTACTATGAAAACAATCTGTAATCTAAAGATTACATTATCATGTTGAAAAATTCGTAAAAATAAAACACAAATATCTGAAAGAAAAAATATATCGTAGATAGATATAATTATGATTCTTTACATCTAACGTCTCCAAGTATGAAATCACAATATTCTTAATTAATTGCTTTAAAAATGCAACAAGCGCGTTTTATCTTGGTGCGCTACAGAGTTAAAATCAAAAATAAAATGGAAAACTTCGCAAGAGTGAGAATTGAATATCTTCAATGTAACTGATGTGCGAAATATGACGCAGTGTTCTATGGTCAGTCTTCAAAAATGAAAATTTTAAGTTACTTTATATCTCTAGTGTTGTATGTGTTGTATTCTTCAATAATATTTTATTACTTTATAATAGATATTAATCAATAGATTTATATTAATTCGAGAAAAAGTGTTGATTGATGTATCTTACAATATATTTTATATTATCAAAAATTTTGTTATGAATTGACTTTCCTTTATTATTCTAATTTTTCTTCATTTGATGGATTTATCTCTATTGTGAAAGCAAAATAAGTAATGAAAAATGAATAAAGTGCATAAAAAAAAACTTTTATATATATTTAAATATATATTTAAATATTGTTTATGTAAATGTTTTTATATTAGATTAGGTTTTAGTTAAGGTAATTTTAATTCTAAACGTTCATTACCCAGCAATGATTTAATTTTTATATAATTGATATTTGTACAAAATTTTTTATAATTCTATGTTTCAATACATAGCATGTAGCACTGATATGTAAGATGCAGATGCTTTCAAAATCTGTGAAAAAAAGATATAATATCAATTTTATTGTAAATTAACAATTAAATTTCATTTTATAATCGCAGAAAGATAGCATAAAA